AATTAAACGAAATGTTGAAAGTAAATGTTTAAACATTTATACATGTTTAGAAATTTTACTTTGATTTGTTTAATCACATGAAGTAATTAATTTATGCTAGATAACACAAGTGAGTATTGATATTATGCTTATGAAATTTTTTTTTAACTAACACGGCATTTATTTGCTGTTATTTATTCAGATGTATGACATGACCAGTTTGATTATTACACTACAGTGTAGCGTCCATAACATTATTTTTTAATTGTATATCTTTTTAAATAATGATATTTAAAATGTCAAATGTAAATGATGGAAGCTTGTGTCTACCACTGATTTATTTGTTATTTTTTTCTTTTGTTAACGTATTCACTTATTTTGCCATCTGTAAGTGGATATTTCAGGTTCACATCTCGGAATTAAACTTGAGAAGTTAATAATTAATTTTATTTATATTTATATTTATAATTAATTTTGTCTTAATAACTCAATAACATCTCAAGTTAATCAAATTTTTTTACAATTTACACTCTGCATGGCAAAACATATTTTGGAAACAAGCTTCAATAAAATTGTGAAGCTTGCATAAATGAATAAACAAATACCTTACTTGAGGACTTATTACTGCTTTTGTTTACAGTAGAAGACTATATTGCTGCTATCTACATGTTATGTCTTGTAATAATGTGCCCTCACTTATACTACAGTGTATGTAGACTTAGTAGAAATTCACTTAGATATATATTGTTATGTAAAGAACTCCACAAATGTATATAGCTTTGAGAATCCTTTTAACCTTTATACATCATTTCCAACAATTCTGTAGGCTTTAACACATAACATAACACTTTGTAACCTCATATTTACTTTCTTTATCACATATTCTCAGACTATTTATTTTATTTTGGATTCACTTTAGTCGTTTCCACGTGTATCCTGTACACATTGAAAACTTACAATAAAGTTGACTAATTAATAATAATTAATAATAACAATAATAAAGGGGTGTTATTGTCATAAAAACTGAATTAAACAGGCAAACGAAAAATAAATAGACAATAAAATCCGATTCATTTAATCCCTAATAAACCAAAAGGCCTGAAAATAGTCACGTGTTCCCCGTACCAATATGGCGGCAGTGCTTCTACAGCGGACACACGGCAGTGGCTGGAGAATAAATCGAGTGCGCCTATACGGTTTTTAGGTCACGTGTTGCAGGTTTTTCCGCGGGATTGATGGCTGGAGCTGTGCGGAGCTGAAGGTACGACTCCATGACTGATTATTACCGAGTTTATCTCCGGACAGTGCGTTTCGTGTAGTTTGCACGCATTCCTGATGCTTCTGTGTTTCTGCTGCTTGTTAGTGTCTAAGCAGTTTACACATTTAAATAACAGCACTTATTCAGAAAACATTTAATAATACCAGCATTAATATCGTTAACTAGTGTAGTGTATGTTTTTCTTTAGTTACAAGCACTTGAGTCACACCAAATACAATTTGTGGTTGTGTTATTTAAGTTGAGGTGTTTCTAACCTTCAGTCTGCCACTACTGATGTAAACTGTGGTTATTAAAAATATATGTTAGTAACACTTCTCAAATTAAAGCTTCCTACATGAAGAAGATAATCACGGCTCATTGGAAGACTACTGTGCTTACCAACATTAGTTGCGGCTGGACGCAACTACCGGTAAATAAAACCAAATTTATGTGATCTTGGACTCATTTTGAATGATTTTTAGAGTAGTCCGTTTGGGATTACATAAAGAGACAAGACACTGACCCAACCTAATGTTCTCCAGTTAACAACACTTTGTATGAACTTTAGAAAAGTATAAATGGATATAAATATAAGGGATGGAAATCATTAGTGGATAAAATAAAATAAAAAATGCTGATTGTCTGAGGTCTTGGTGGGAGAGCTACCAGAGTACAAGTTATACCTAAAACTTCTTGTGTTTTTTGCCCTCACAAGCTTTACAGAAACAAACCATCCAAACCTTTTGTGGATCTTTACAGAGTCAAAGAGATGCCACCAAAGAAAAAGGCCAGAGTCAGTAAAAGGAATGCAGGTTCAGGTAGGTAAATCAAATCACAGAAGAAAATCACCTGTCTGATATTAGAAGGTTAGTACACTCATCCTGGGCTTTCTAATGATTTTCCAGGGTAGAATATTTTATAGCTACATCTTTAATTAATTAACCAAACTATTGGGTGCACAAGTGTGAATTTATTTTGAGTTTAGTCTCAATTTTATATAATGACTCAAGTGCATTCAAACACCCCCACTAATATTTGGTTGACTGTCCTTTAGCAAGCTGCACCTCAACCACACACTTTGGGTAGGCATCAACAAACTTCATGCATACTTCTGGCTGCATGTTTGACCACTCTTTTCTGCAGAATTGGTAGGGTTTGTTCAAATAGTCCAAAAATGTTCAATAGGGTTTAGGTTGGGGGTTTGGGAAGGCCATCCCAGAAGCTTAATGTTAACCTGCTTTATCCATTACAAAACCAGCTTTCACATGTGTTTGGCATCATTGTCTGATTGAAACACTCAATTGTGTCCAGGTTGATTTGAGGTGAAGTTGAACAATTTGGACATAGTTCTCCTCCTTCATTATTCCATCTACTTTGTGCCCATGATGCTACCACCACCATGCCTGACAGTTAGTCCATGGCACTGTAAAACTAACTTCACTGTAGACAGTTTTCCTGTTGTTCCATTAGTTTCCGGTTCCTGTTAGGCTTGAACCTTTTTGGTCCTTTAGTTGTTCCTGAACATCTGAACCAATTTCTGCTCGTGTGAGGGTGACAGTGTGGGTCTTCTTCTAGAACCCAGGAAAGTTGTGTTTGCACTGATTATTTTGGAATCTGCACTTCTAAGAGACATTCCCAACGTGTGTTAATCTGCAATTCTATTTATTAGATGTTTACTGAGTTCCTTGGATTTTTCCATTGTTCTGAGTATTGGTCAATCCAATGGGTGCTGCCAAAGAAATTCACTAACAACATTGTAGAACCTCCAGTGCCGCTTATTATTATAACTTAAGCGCTTGTTCTTGTTTTTTAAAGTCATTACAGATTTATGCTGTACAATCACTCCACCCTGGAAAAAGAACGGTTCAAAGAAATCATTAAAAACACCAAATTATTGTGACATTCAATCCCTCGAAGAGTGCGTGTAAACACAGTTTTACCTAAAGAGTGCTTCCAAACCACAGGCAAAGATGATGACAGGGAGCCAGTGTCCCCAGCTTTGAAGAAGAGGAAAGCTGCAACTTCTGGTGGAAAAACTGACGAGAGCTCGGCGTCTTCTGGTTCTCCACAGTACAGTCGCTGGCTGATGAAGTCTGAGCCCGAGAGCCGCTTTGAGAATGGCATCGACGTAAAGGTATGGAGCAGCACCAGCTTTGTCAGCGCATTTTAAAGTGTGAGCTGGTCTCACTTGTGTGATGCTTCCTGTTCACTCTGCAGTTTGGCATCGAGGACCTGAAGGCTCTGCCTGATCAGACCAGCTGCTGGGATGGTGTTCGTAATTATCAGGTAGAGTTGCAGCGCCGAGTCCTTCAAAAAGAAGATGTTTATCTGAAATAAGGGAGCAATGCGCTGCTACTCCTGAAAAGGCTTTTCTGTCTCTGTTCACTGCACCACTGCATAGCAAATTTTTGAATTTGCTATGCTTATCTTCTGCAGGCACGCAATTTCATGAGGCAGATGAAAGAGGGGCAGCTGGCTTTCTTTTACCACAGCAACTGCAAGGAGCCGGGGATAGCAGGAATCATGAAAGTGAGTCGCTCTTCTATATTTAGGTAAAGCTCGAGACGGGCCCGATGTTCAGCTTCATTTTCTCTTTCTAGGTTGTGAAGGAAGCTTATGTGGACCACACTCAGTTTGACAGGAAAGATGTGCATTATGATGCAACCAGCAAACCAGACGACCCCAAGTGGAGCATGGTAAGCTGAACGCATTAAGCGCAGTTAATGATAAGACTCGAGCGTGAAGGCTGAGCTCGTTCCCTTCTCCCGCAGGTAGACGTCCAGTATCAAAGGATGATGAAGCGTTTTCTTCCTCTGTCGGAGCTTAAAAAGCACCACCTGCAGCATCGCGCTAAGGGGGGGCCCCTCAAGGACATGGCGCTTTTTACAAGGGCTAGGCTCTCTGTGCAGCCTCTCAACACCGGTATGACAGAAGCGGAAAGAAAAAAAAGTAAATAAATAAACAAATAAAAAGAGAAATAGCTGTGAACACTGTTTCTTTCTCCGCAGAGGAGTTTGACTTCATCTTGAGTCTGGAGGACAAAGAGCCACTGTAAGGATTTACTTCACAACGCAGCAAAATCATCACAAGTACCATTGCTTCACTGTAACTGTTAAAATTTATTAAAGATATTAAATATTTTTATTAGACATCATGATCCAGATTCAATCTGTGAAAACACAAACATGTGTTTATGACTTGAGTTTCTTGGAACTGGATGGAAAGCAGTGCCTCTTTTATAAAGTATAAACAGAAGCAGCATTAATTATGGCTGGCCTTTGCTCTCAGAGTAGCGTCAAGCATCATTTTATTGACATTATTTAACTCGTAATTTATAAACGGCAGCATATTTTACGACTCCTGATACCCTTTCAACGCTCGTTTAATCACATGGGAATAACTCGACATTGTGTGCTCGACTGCTGTCCGGTGATGACAGAGTGAGTGGGAAAATAAAACCTGCAAACAGCCTATGTGCTGTGGCCTTCTAGGTATTTGCTTAATTGCAAAAAAAAAACCCAAAACAACAACATGCAAAGGGCTCTTGGGAAATTTTCCTTTTTGTAGACTGTGGGGGACCCACATTAAATGAATTTAATGTGCTGAATGCTGAAAAGTACCTTATATAACCTCTGATGAGATGCTGGTTTGGAAGTATTAATGCTGTTGCTGCAGTGACTTAGGTAAGGTCCAGCTTCACAGGTTCTTATTAGAAGTGTCAAGTATTGATTAGAATGTGCTGACGTTGTTTTTAACAGCACAAGCAGTGTTTTAAGTGTGAATGATCCTCATCAATAAACTGAGATCAGTTTACGCAGATTATTGCTGTAAATGAGAGCTAGGTGTCCACCTGTGACTGAGCAGTTTGCAGTTAGAGTCGACAGTTTCCAAGCCCAAAGGCAGTTCCTCAGGTTAGGAGTGAGAACCCCTTTCACTGTAAATTTGCTCACATCAGCAAAGCTGTCAATTTAGTTCTGATATGACTTCTTGAGAGGAACACTCTCCCTCTTGTGGGTCCCCAGAGCTCATAAAAACTACACCTTCCAGACAAGACGATGACCTTGAGTGTGAGATCAGCCAAATTTAAATCAGACAAGGTTTTTGATTTTCAGGCCCAGCTGCTGCCCGATGCCACAACAACAACTCCTGTATTATATCTGTATGTCAGAATCAGTCAGATGGTGTAGCACCATTTATCTCCTAACTGACATCACTGTTATTTAAATAGTTTTTATTAACTATTTTCAATTGATTTACTTGAATAATTGTGTATGCTGATGCAAAATAGCTACTTTGAACAGCAGTGGCTGAAAAAGCCCAGCCTGCTTTGGAACCCGAGCCCTGGGGCACACTGTGTGTTTCCACTGATGAAGTGTGTCCCAGGGCTTGGGTCACAAAGCTTCAGAGCGCTAATGACTGAATCAGTGTGTTGATATCTTCTGTGGTCTTTTCCACAGTCATAGTTTTATGAAACATTTTCTCCTTCGCTCTGGTTGTCACATTAGGATAACATCACCTTTAAGTTTTAAGCCTCGTCTTTAGTTGAGACCTTTTCCTTTACGTGTTTAAATTACACCTCAAAGCACATGCTTGCATGTCCTCTTTCACCTGATGTTACTGTTGTTAAGATAAAACGTATAATTTTGACACGGATCTCCTAAGAACCCACCAGAACGTAGAAACCTGTTATAAAACGGATATACAGACAATGTCTTTTGTGGAAATGTCCTTATAATGAATATGTGGTCCAGCAGAAGTTGCTGTGGCTTGCTAGCACCGTTGCCTCAGAAGGTCCTGAGTTCGCCTCCAACATCTAGCCAGGGCTTCTGTGTGTGGTTTGTATGTTCTCCCCATGTTTGCATAAGGTCTCTGGTTTAACCTAACCCTACCCCATGTTTTAAAGACATTCAGTTGGTAGGGTTAGATTAATTGGTCATTCTAAATTGCCCTGCATCAGACTGGTGACCTGTCCGGGGTATACCCTGACTCTTGCCCTATGATAGTTGGGATAGATCCAGCCCTGATGAGGAAAAGTGGAAGAGAATGGATGGAAGGACATTTTCCTATGATAAATTCAAAATAAAAATCCACTAATTTTTCAACTGATGAGAACTTAAAAAAATATCAAACTGTACAGTCATGATGTGTATGTGAAAAACTTAAGTATATCGTATCATTCAGTAGCTTGTAAAACCACCTTCAGCAGCAATAAACTGATCATTGTCTGTATCCCTGTATCAGTCTCTCACATTGTGGAGGGATTTTGGCTCACTCTTCTTTACAGCATTGCTTCAGTTTATTTAGGTTTGCAGACAGTCATTTATGCACAGCTCTTAGAGAGGTTAAGGTCTGGAGTTTGATGGGGCCACTGCAGCACCTTGATCCCCCCCCTCCCTCCCCTCAGTCACTCTGTTGCAGATCTGCTGACCTGCTCACTACTCTATAGAAGTTGAATGTTAAATAAAGAAATAAATAAAACTACATTAGCTGTAAGTACATTTTAATGAATGCTCAGGTTCATTAAGTCAACACATTCATTCATTTCCACAACAAAACCACAGAGAATTTAATTCATTTGGCATCAATTTATTAGACTTTTGGGAACAAGGAGTAATCGAGTAGCATTTTGCAAAAGATAGTTCTACTGTAACTTTCTCTGGTTAAAAGACTAAAATTATGTTAGAGGCAGGAGGATTCAATTAGCTTGATACACGTAGGCACAACTTTTAAGTCTCTAATAAAGAGGATACAGAAGACTTCATACTATCAGACCTCAAGACAAACACTTTGACATCCTTTCCTAACACCACTGGAATGCTGAGGTAAAGCTTATGGACATGAAACGTCATTTTGTAGCACTGTGTACTAGATAGTCTGTGTACACGAGCTGGAAACAGGATAACAGGTTTAACTGGCCTTATTTACAGGTTTAAAAACAAACGTGTGGATTAATACTTTAGATCTCTCACTCAAACAGCAGCGAGAGATTAGAGTTTCCACTTCCATCCTTTTTTTTGTGCAAACACACAAACACAGAAATGTGTTCAGCAAGGTAAAGCAGTGCAAAGTTATCTTGGATTTCTTGACCTTAGAACAATGTTAGGAATGCATTCATTAAACGTGGAATGTCGGAGATGCACTTGATGAGCATTTGTTTGAAATAATTATGAGATTAGAAATCAATTGATCCCAAAAGTGTTAGAACGAAACAAACAGAAGGCTTAAAAATTCAATTTCACATGGTTTTACCCAGCGATCAATGAGACATGGGTTTACTTTGATTCCCAAAAAGAACCCCCTCCTCCAAAAAAATATGCATTAATGAGGAAGGATAGGACCAGCAGCCTGAAGCCCATTTGAATGCCTCATGCAAACTGTTTCATAGTTCACACAGTTTTACCCTATGTCGGTCTCCCTTCTTTCTTTACCAGCAGCAGCAGCTACAAGTAAAGCAGCTGCCTCTCCAGATGTTGTACAGTTCACATGTACCCCCCACCACCCCAGTGCAGACCCTTTGTGAGTCCCGTGAGTGGAGAGCTGCGGCTCTACCCGCTCTCCTCTTTTGCAGCCTGTTCCAGTGCGCTCTCTGAAGCGGCTGATCCTTCGAACCTCTGAGAGGCGATGGCAGCCTGGTGAGACATGCTTTTCCTCACCACGTCCCCTTTTCTCCACAGTGTGATTTCCTGGAGGGGAGAGAAATCAAAGACAAATGTAAGGTGATGACATGAAGAACACCTCAGCCCATGACCTGTAAATGAAAGAAAAGGTACCAAACTGAGCAGAGTTTTCCTAGCTCTCAAATGTAACTGATAAATGATTTTAGCCTTTTAGAACCAGTCAGTGGGACATCAACCAATAAAAGCACCACTACTTCTTATTCGCTGTCAGACTTGTTTTCTAGTGCAACGTTTCCACTATCTAACACAGAAAAAAGCAGAGCTCCACAATAGCACATAAGGTACTGTGTTTAAGAATTGCTATTGATAAGATTTTACTGATGGTGTTCAGTTTCGAGGTTTCAAGCAGATTCTTTATTGATTACTGATCGATTTTCACCTACACAGGGTTTGGGGGTTTTTTTTAGTGCCAGTGCAGCAGGTCTATTATCTCTTCAGCTCCACTGCCATGAAAAAATAAATAAATAAAAAGACATAAATAAATAAAACATGCCAGCACTAATAAAAGGCACTTATAAGCTGGGGGGCATAAGCTTTGGATGGAGTACAATTCAGAACAGAACCAGTTGGAACCTGCTCTCAGTTCCCACCTCTGATTATTCAGTAGCACTAGCTGTAACTACAGTCAGAATCGCTACACACTCACAGCTCTATCATAGCCTGTACCCCCACATTTAGAAAGCAAACAACAGGAGGATGTTCGCCAGCTTTCTTAGTGAAACAGGGTTCAGCTGCCATTACATCCTGGCTGTAGGTACGCTTCAGTTATTACAGTTGCGGCTGTGACACAACAGGATGTAGCACTGATTGACTACATGCAGGCGGCTTTGTGTGCCTACAGTAGTAGTTGGAGGCTGAGCCTCCTCTTGAAGCCACACTGTCCTTTCACTCTGACACAATTGAACTACAGAGGCAGTCAAAATCAGAACCACATCCAGCCACAGCTGCACTAATGTCAGCCAGGCAGAGCAGCTGCAGCTGTGCCCACATCCACCAGCTGGATACTGTTTGAGAGCTGCCCTTCACAATGACTAATAAGCACTAAAAATCACATTCACATGGATAGTTTTAAACTAGTGAAGTAGAAGATTCAGAAAAATGTAAAAACGCTGTCTGATGTTTTTGCTTCCAGTCGTACCTGCTGTTTGAAGTAACGTCTCTCCTCCTCGTCAATCAAAACCAGGTTCAGGTAGTAGCGCACCGAGAACTTCTTGTTGATGTCTCGCATGGTGGGGGTCAGATCATATCCAGCCAGAAATAATCGGATGGGGATGGACTCTCCTGCAATGTTAAACACACTCTCAGAGGCTGAGCAGTGTTTGTATTGTGTGACTTGTTGAAACTGTGAATAACTTTTGTTTACCTCTGACCGGCGCTCCATCCATGATCTCGTACTTGGCAATAGTGTCATTTTCGTGGTAAACGCTTGGGCCTGTGCCTGTTGTCTCACGTTTGATGATGTCAATCTCCATGTGTTTAATCTTAATTCTCACCAGCAGGAAATAGATTTTTCCCACAATTACATCTTTCAGATGGTACCTGGAAAAGAAGAAAAGAAAAGCACAGGCAACAACTGCGAATGAGATCTACAGTTTAGTCACTAACAAGTACAATGTTCAGTACATGCTTTTCATTTAAACTGATAATAAATCAATCATTGTTTCAGCCACTGGTTCAGTTTCTAAATAAATAAATGCACCTTTCACTTAAAAAGAGATGGTTTTGCTGATACTGTATAAAACTATTTCACTCTTACACACAGCATAACAAGGGGGAAAAAGTGAATGATAGTGGTTTGCTGCAGCCCTGCAAGCCTTACTTGGATTTGTTATACTCAAACTCGATGTGGAGGCAGTCCTCAATTCCAACTTCCATTTTAATGGAGGAGTTGAGCTCAGGATAGGTGCTCAGTGTGTGGACCACAATGTCCATCTCTTTAGTGATGTCATTTAGTCTTCTTATCACCGTGGCACGAAGAAAATATCTGAAAATAAAGCATACAGGCAATGAAAAAAAGTGCCATTTGCTCCTTAGTAGAAAGTCACAACTACACACTAATTGACCATAATGTCAAATCCACCTGCCTATCCTATCGTTTACTGCTCCACCTCATGACAAAGACTCAACCAGATGTCTGGTTGCAACACTGAAATGCATATTCATAATGCTGCCACCTCTTACACTGGTAAAAGCCTACCTTCTCCCAGTGCCCTTCCAGCTATGACGCTGTCGCATTCATCTGTAGGAACCTTTGGTGGTGGACAGGGCTCACCATGGTCAATCTGACTAGTCTGACACCTTCAAGTCAAGTTTAAAGCGTTTTCTGTTCATTCAATTAACAGAGTCCAACCCTATTACCCATTCACCTTGGACACGTTTTGATAGGTACTTATCACTGCATACAAAGAATACCCCGAAAGATCTGCAGCTGTCTTCAAGCATTCACAGTCTAGCCCTCGTCAAACATTTGCAACACATATTAAGTCGTCACAGTTCACTTTTTAGCCCTCGATTGTTTACACTGTAATGATTTAACTCACTTCCACCGTCATTGGTCTGAGCAGCGTGCGTGTGCTGCAAGTCAAATGTGGGCAACATCAAGCTTGAAAACTGCTCAGTTTAAGTGCAACCACATGAGGCAGGTTAACAAGTAACGCGCTCACTGTACTGCTGACAAAACGACAGTGAATGATCAAACTTACCTTAGCTTGACATTCTGGCCTGTGTAGGACTCGTAAGGTTTCTCAACATGAGTGAACTCAAAGTCAAAGGTCTGGGACTGAGTTATTTCACCAGGTCTTGCGAGATCTTTCACCAGGGAAACAAATTCATGATGGTTTCCTCTGTCATAATACAACTCTAGAACAAGAGGAAAGACAGTATTAAAAAAAAAAACTATACTGTGCACGATTTTGGATACAACTGAGCTCTTGGACTTGTAATTGATTTTAGTGGCCAGAAAGCCATACCATGTGAATTTCGCTTCTTAAAATCTATTTATGTGTCCAAGTTTTCACACAGCTCTTTCACAAATGTAACACTCAAGCAGAGATTGTCTGTGTTGCTTACAGTTTCACTGCTGGAACTTTTAAAAGTCCAGCTGCAGCAGATTAAGGACACTAGAGTGCAGCTTACAGGTGATCTGAAACAGGTCTACACAGGTGTAATATGTGGCCCCCTGTGTTTCCTTTCATGTCTAATATAAAGTTGAAAACTGAAGCATCTGTTTGTTTCACTGTTGAGGGATGCCTCCATGTTTCTTCAGCCCACAGTGTATCACTCGCTGCTATTTTTACATACCTATTTGTCCCACAAATTCAATTTTGATGCCGTGGTGCTCCAGCCTCTTCCCGGGGTTCTTCAGCGTCACATTCACCTTTCCACTGACAGTCTCGCCGTCGTAGAAAAGAAAATATTTGTCTTTCTTCCCATCTTCAGTTTTGTGTTCAACCTTCTTCCTCGTTTCGGCGTCATTCAGGACAACATCGATTTCTGCGCTTTGACCAAAACTAAAGAAACTCATTATAATGCTGCGTCCGCGCTAACTCTTTATCTTATCT